TGGCGTTGCTGTATTCTCTGCATAAGCCCATATTCCTTCAGCGCCTTTCGCCATACGTCCCATACTCAAAAGAGATCTACACGACGAAGAGAGAGCAGCAAACGCACCCCCCCCCCCCCCCCCCCACCACCACCACCAACCCCTTAGAAAGCCTCCGAATCCGAATACGCTGGTTAGGAGATCCCAGCATTAGGCAGCGGGGCAAAACAAGCTTGGCATGGCTGCAGACGCGAATACACGTCCGACCGCGACTGATAGCAGCCATCAACAATTATTGAGCTCAACAAGCAAGGATACACGATAAGAGCCACCCGAACCAACATCCTCACCGTCATCCCCATTCTCAACCATCTGGCATCCCGTCGGTGTTTCAGTCTGGGCGTGCGCCCTTATCCTAAAATGAAAAGAGGCGCGCTGAATACATTTCCCCTGTCATTCCTGCTATCGCTATAATAATTTCACAATGCTTTAGAAAAACAAAGGAGTTTCTAAGGTAATTTACTAATTTAGCACACAATATACATTCATCAAGTACCGTATTTTTTTTACAGTAAGCACGTGTTTAACTCAACATAATCAATCAATCTTCTGCTGAGAAATCTGGCTCTCGAGGCTTCTGCATCTTCACCAAGTCTCTAGCACTCCTTGAATCCCTGAGTCTATGAACTCCTCTGAGGGCATTAGCGGCAAAGCGTGACGCGTATAAAGTAGCACCGAGGCTAGATGAAGCAATCTCATCAACTTGATCCTCTTCTTCCTCCTCTTCGTAGCTCCGTCTGAGCTCAACCATCTTCCTCTTCGAATACCGTCTCCATGCTGCTTGAATGAAGCAAGCAGCCCATGTCCTCCATTGCTGTGAGTAGAATCTGAACGTGTGTTGAACTTGCTTACTGTGAAGTCTCCTAAACTGGCTGGCGACAAATTTAAGCTCATCAGCCATTAAGGCGAAGGCTTCAACCTCAGTTAAGGCTCTAACAGTTCTAGTAGATGAGGGGAGACTAGCTCCAGCTTTAGGGTCGAGGGCCCAGGTTAGGAGTTCCTCTCCACAGAAATCGCCCTCCTTGAGTAAGCCTCGGTTGAAGAACCCACTTCTTCCTCCGTCAGTGGTCACGCTCTCCATTCGACCACGTATTATGAAGAGCATCTCATCTACAGGATCTCCTTCCCTCAGAATGTAGGTGGTTTCGGTGTAAAGTGTGGGTTTCAGGCGCTCACATACGGCGTCTAACAAACGCTCGTCCAAATTGTCGAACAGAGGCACCTACAAACAAGGCTGAAGACTTCAGGATTCAATGATGAGCAATAAACACTGAAGATCAGGGTGTTTTGCACAAAACCTCTAGAACTTTAGGGCAACTTTAGAGACCCCCCTAAACTTGTTTCACTAAATAACATGACTAACTATAACTACAGTTTGATTAAGCTGTCATGTTATTTGCACGGGGTATTTTTTTTGTACACTTTAGCTCTTAGTACTTATCTACTTTCACCAAGAATTATTTGGGTTAGGTGGATAGACATTAGAAATGACAGTTTAGACTTTTTACACTTAATATTAACGCATTTATATTGATTTCTAATGTTCTGTACAATTTTGATAATGACAGCTTGATATTTGCAGGTGTTTTCTCTAATTTATTTTGGGGGTTCTGTGTAAAACATTCAGTGTTCAAGGGGGTCTGGAATTTATTCAAAAAAAAAATGCAACTAATTCACCAAAAAAGACCATAGCAAACATGCCAACATTGATGCATTCTCCATCATCATCCAAACCCCTTCACAAAATGGGCGTATAGGAGAAGAGAAGCTACAAATATGGATAACGAAATTCAACTCTCCCCCTCTCCATCTATGATCTATATGTTGATATAAACAAACTAGCGTTCATGCAAACTTTACGATCAGCCATTCTATGATGATGCTCACATGCATCTTTGATCAGACACAAAAAACATTTCAGCATGCATAGGCATATAAATGATGAATAAGAAATACAAAATGCAAAAGGGGGCACAAAAGCTGAGGGCAAAGAGAGCAAAATATGACATCCTCTTACCCTTCTCACCAACGCCAAACATAAATGGCGTTTAATATCCCTTCTAAGGTCCTTGGGCAGACTCTGAACCAAGCTTTCTTCATCTACACCTCGTGTCTCCAACCACTTGTACTGATCATATCGTCGAACACGCTCCCGAAGTTCTTGTGGCAATAGACGGTGATGCATCCACTGCTCTGAGTCACGCCGTTTGACCCTCATCTCCTCAAGACGTATTGACAAAGATTGAAGATAGGTCTGGAAAACAAAAGGATGTTCCACTTTTATGTTGAGTTTTCATAATATATATGACACCTTTCTCCAACTTTTCATCAAATGTTTGTGCTTGTCAATTTCAATAAGATCTATGCAATCCAAAATAAAAACTTAAGGAGAGAAAAAGGAGAACTTCACCTGCATGTTGCCAATAAGAAGGGCAAAGAGAATGAGTCCAAGAATAGCCAGTGCTATAGAAAATATAACCTCTCCAGGATAAGTAGTTGTTACAAGCCCTTGACCCAAAGTGCTGTTAAGCAAGAAGAAATTATATGAGAGAAGTCACAATCAGTTTTATGCAGTTGAACAAGCATGCAGCATTAAATTATTAACAGTTTATAGTCCTATAAACCAAAATTCTGGACTCTTGTGAACCGTCAGATTACCACCAGCATCGATGCATGACCTTTTTAGTTTGTTGGAACATTCTCAGCTTAGTGAACCAGTAACTTTTTTTCTTGTAAAATAAAAATGCATGACTTGTCAATATCCCATACCTCACATTAAACGAAACGTGAAATAGTGGGCATTTGATGTACGGTAAGGAGATGATAGAATGAAAAACCTAATGAGGTATATATATTTGGCTGAGAATATCGAAAGATTTTGAATGGTCAGATCATCTAAAAATGCCCCCTTGTTAAATTCTCATGAAATTTTAAGAACTAAAGATCTTCCTATAAATATCTGTGCATGCACAAGCATGCAAATGTGTATGCTTTTGTCTCATAACAGAGGTCTATCTTTGGAGAAGGGGGGCAGCTATAGGACAAGCCTAGGAACTTCCAGAATGGTGTACTTCCCAATTTCGACTCCTGGATACTGGTGGTGCAAACTGATACTCTAACCTAGTAACCTATCTCATAAAGTTTAGGAACCAATGCCCTAATGCCCCATCTCCCAAATGGATATGATACCCTATGCATCTGATACCCAATGCGAAACTGGCCAGTGTTAGTGCCCAAATCCCTTCTGATGTCCTCCATGGGAGCAAACACTAACTCAACGACATCTTTCAGTCATAAGAAGGCGTTTTCCAAATCTTTGAGCAGTTGTGCAAAAAATTAAAAATTGCCAAGAGAAAACAGGTTTCTGTTTCGAAACCAATCAAATTATAATTGGTCTATGCTGTAACCTGTTTGATGTTATATGCTGATTTAAACATTTAAGATATTTGATGACACTGACAACTTGAGATCAAATAGGAGTCTGCACAGCAGTTCAAACATGATTACTAGTTCAAGCCACAAGCTGAACTGATTGCACACTAAGTGATGTTTCAATGAAACAAATAAAAGAGAGGCTTACCTCAGATTTTGTAAACCAAACCACAAACAATAACACAACTTAGGAAAGAACTTCTTTGATGACACTATTTCAGACTTCAAGGCCTGTGCATAGATTCCAAATTTAAAAGGGCCATCACCCTCAGCTGAACACTTCTTTTCGAGGGTTTCTTTGAACACAGTTTTCCATTTATCATTACCACCAGGATTTGCATTTCCACAATACAAATAACTACCATCACATCCAGTAACTTTCTGACAAGCCATGTGCCAGCAATCATCTTGGCGTTCAATAGCTAATAAGTACCAGAAAGCACCTACTATCTGCAAATAAAAAGGTAACTGTGAAGAGCTTTAGTTGTAATGAATTAATCTACAAATTAAGTAGAGCTCACATTGAGTATGATTTTCATGTGTGTCAAATCTCACCGAGAATTATGATATATGTTGCTTTCATGTATGATGTATGTGTAACCCACTTTGAAATGACAAGTAAAACAGACGGTTCAACATATATTCAAATTTTTAATAGCAGTACCATTCTTGAACAATTTCCACTTACAAACATACTTGCATGCAAGTTTGGTGACTATTATTATGGTGAAAGCCGATAGCTTACCAATCTGTTCCTTTGCTACATAAAATATTCCAAAATGAAAAAGAACTAAGCATGAAAACTAGCTACAAAAGAATATAGAAAGAAGCTAGGTCACTGAAATTTTATATTTCTTTACCGAAGTTGCAGATTGAATATCTAATATCATAAACTGTTTACTCATTTAGATAAAATCTAATATAGTACAGAAATATGAATTGGTGGGCAATAAATTGGATCAGATGCTCACTATTAGTGGTCAATTAGATGCCAAATATTTATGATTCATCAATGAGATCTAAGAAAGCTAGATGTTAGAGAAGGGCTTGTGTTCCATAGATGGTTGGTTCTCATCATGCATTTTAAGATCATACGTGATACCACTAATAATAAATAATCTAGATCAGGGAAGTGATGAGGAACAATACAAGCCAATGTGCTAAGTTAGATAATTTAAAACTATTAGTTATTTTTGTTGAATATCATATCTCCATGATAATGTTTTGACGATAACAATTTATACAGTGTACGCACTAACTTTTATATGCAGATTTCAATATCAGAATATGTACAAGTGCAAGTTGATTTCAAGGCATTTTGAAGTGAAGAAAATGAAGAACAAAAGAGATAATGTATTTTACATTTTCTTTACTTAGAATAATTGTACAAGCCTTGATCACACACACGCACACACACAATTTTAGAACACACTAACACAGGCTTAGTGTGTTGGTTAACTATAGAAATCCCCTATGTTAACCATTAGAATTATAGTTAAAACTTGATTATAAAAACTCCTTATAGCAGAATTTTTGCTCTTAGTAGTCGACTAATTAGAATAGTAGTCGACTACTCGTGTATAAAACTCAAATACATGTTTTTGTCAATTTACAGTATAGTCGACTAATAGTGATTATAGTCGACTACTCAGGTGTTTGACAGAAACATAAGTTTCTGTTATTTTACAGTATAGTCGACTAATGTCAACAGTAGTCGACTACTGATTCTGAACTTTCAGTTTTACAGTTTTTTAAGCCTAGTGGATTTTTTCTTAGATTCAAACCAAAAATCCAATACCCATACCCGTTTCACTTAAGTAAAATTCATCTCAACCATTCTTTTTCAACTCCATCAATCCTAACCATACATTTAAGATCAAATCTTAACCCTACACTCAATTTATTATCAAATCTCAACCATACATTATTTTTTATTCTTAAAAGATAAAATTAAAAACAAAAACTACCATCTAACTACACCCAAAACCGAAACCCCATCTTCCCCACTTCAGAGTCATCGATTCCAGGTTAGGGCATCTCTCTTTTCTCAATTTTTCTCCATCAATTTCTTCAAATCTTTCATATCTGTCAAGCATTAAAGCTCTGTAGTCGACTAATCCAAGCTATAGTCGACTAATCTAGGGTTTCTACAGTTTGGGGTTGTTTTAAACTTGATCTTTACATCTTTTGTTATTTATCTATCTAATCATGTCTAGATCTAAGAAAGCTAAGCAAACTCATACCTCTATCAATGATAAAATCATCATCTATTTAAAAAGTCCTGATTTATTAGAAGAATTTAACAAATTATCATCTTTTGAAGTTCTTCCAAGACGATTTGTGAAATTTAATGATTTTATAACCTGGAATTTTAGTTCATATTTTGAAAATTGGGATTGCTTGAACTGTTCTCTGCTGAAAATAAAAAACCCACATATCCATTTCTTGTGCAACTGTTCTATACTAATATAGAACGTGTGGGAACTATTGGTGGTTCTGAAAAAATCAAAACTCTTGTTAAAGGAATAGAGATTGACTTAACTACAAAGTCAATTGGTAAAATCTTTAATATTCCTTATCAAGGAGTTTCTCTTAAGTCTGTTAGGATGAATGATTCAGATCTGTTATCTAATCATATATTTCTTCCTGGATATGGCAAACCTTTAAATAAATCAAACAAACTTCGTCCAATTCCTAGGTTCATTGCTCGAATCCTAGCCTATAACTTGTTTCCAAAATCTGGAAGTTTCATTTCATTTCCCTAGATTTAGCAAAAGCTCTATGCTATAATAGGAAATATTCAAGTTAATTGGGCTGAAGTTTACTTTGACAATCTTCTGACTATTCCAAGAGGATTTCTTCCTTATGGCGCATTCCTAACTAAAATCTTTAACAAATTCCATGTCGATCTTCAATCTGAAAATTCTGTTGTCCGTTCAATTGAATTTTTTGATTCAAATGTCCTAATTAGGATGAAATTGACAAACTTTGAAATTCAAGAACAAAATCCTCAAAATGAACCTGAACCTCATCAAGAAGAAATTCCACAATCCTCAACTCAAGCAGGAGCTTCTTCAAGTAAACCATCACCATTTCCTACAGAACCCTCATACTTTTCAGACGTGCAATACAACACTTTAAGTGCACGTATCCTTGAACTTGAAACTGGTCAAAGAGCTCTGTTCATGTATTGTGATTATGTCCAATTTTCATCTTGTTACGGAGATAAAAAGCCGATGAAGTCAACTTCAAGGTCCTCCAACATGCGGGAGTACATTCCGTCGTGATTCAACCACAGTTTTAAATATCGGCCGATAATTGATATTATCGGCCGAGTTATCGGATTTGGGAGCTCTCCGCTAGGATAAATTGGATTTTTAATCGGTTATCGTTTTTGTAGGTTTATCGGCGTTATCGGCACTTATCGGCCGATAAGTAAGACTTTTTTATCGGGATTATCGGGATTATCGGCCCATTTTGACTAACATTATATTTTTTCAAGGCTATGATGTAAGTTTCGCTTTCTACAATTTGTTAGTGATTCTAAACATGATGATTTACATTTTGGTATTTTATATTTCATTAAGTATGATTAGATTATATTTTTTAATTGTTACATTATATATACACATCATCTAGTATATCACTCCGATAAATACTACTTATCCCCGATATATCCCCGATTTTCGCTATCCGATAAAGATTTTAGCCGTCCGATAAATCCCCGATAACCGATATTTAAAACCTTGCCTCCAGCACCTTAAGATGTTTTTATATTAAGTGTCAAAACAATTATGTTATTCTGTTTAAGTTTCAAAAACTATGTGGTTGTGTGATGTTCAGTGTTTTCAATGCGCGAGGTGCAATGCGGGGCGCAAAGTCAGTTTACGCGCACATGCGCAAGGCGCAATGCGATGCGCGCGCCCGAGCGAATCGAGGCGCACTCTAGACCACAAAAATTTTAGAACTCTTAAAATAACTAAATTTTAAAATACAGTCAATAAGTTACAACCTAAATACACTATCATTGGGTCAACTTATAGAACTATTAAAATACCTACACTACAGTAACAAAATAATAGCTACATTAACAGAATGATAGCAACAGTAACTTATAGCACTCTTGAAATGCACTATCAGATAATAATTTTTACTGTTAACTGCTAAAAACTTAAATTAGCTACAGTACAAAATATTTACAGTTAAGTTTCTTTTACTGTTAAAATAGCTACAGTAAAAAATAAAAGAACAACCTGCTCAAACAACTTCAAAAAATAAAAGGACGAACAACTTAAAAAACGAAAGAACTACTGTTAAAACAACTACAGTAAAAAAACAACTACAGTAAAAACAGCTACAGTAAAAATAGCTACAGTAAATAAAATAACGTTAAAATCAGCTACTGTTAAAATCTGATGTGGCAAAAAAGATAAAAGAACGGAGAACCTTCTCGTTAAGGAGAAAAAAAACTGGAAAATAAAAGAAAAAACAAAGAGAAAGGAGAAAAAAACAAAGAGAAAGGAGAAAAAACCTGTTCGCTGCTTGTTGCTGCCGATCGGCGATCGCCATCTCCCTTCGTCGTCGTTGCTCGTCACCGTCGCTGATCGTCGTCGTCGTCGCTTGTTGCTGCCGCCGAGAGGAGATTACAAGAGTGGATATCGGGGCTTGGGAGAAAAAGTGAGTGTACAGAAACTCTAACCCTTTTTATTTCCCTTTTTGATTCCCTTTTTTATTTCGGGTCTATGTGGGAAGCGGGTTTGTACCCGAACCCTAACCCTTGCGGTCCTGGAAATGAGGCGTGCGCCTTTCGCCTTTCGTCAGGCGCTGCGGGGCGCTCCTCAGGCGCGCGCCCGACGCAAGCGTAGCGCCCCGCACCTGCTGCGGGGCGCTATGCTACTGCGCCGCAGCGCCTCGCGCCCGAGGCGCGCGCCCCACAGCGCCTTTAAAAACACTGGTGATGTTAGGACTTATGTAATATGTTTCTTATGTTGCTACTATGTTACTTATGTTAATTATGTGTTTTTATTATCTATGATAATGTTTGATTAGTAATGCATGTGCTACATATTTTAAACAGATCATGATGATGAACATTATGGAACTTTTGGTCTTTATGGCAAGTCTTTGCCTACCTATTTGGATGGGTGAAGTTATGGACTATGTTCATAACCTTAATGATTTGTTTAAAATTTTAGCTCATGTTGAAGAAATAATGTCATGTTTAGCTTCCTCTTTTTGTTGATAACAAAGGGGGAGAAATAGTTATGTTTTGTTATGTACTGTTATAGTTTAGTTATGTATGTACTGTTATATACTCAAATTTGCATATATGCAGGGGAGTAAGTATTATATGCAAGGGGAGTAAGTATGATTATTTTAAGTTTTAATCTGATGCATAAATTATTTGTTATCATTAAAAAGGGGAAGAATGTTGAATATCATATCTCCATGATAATGTTTTGATGATA